AGGAAGGGAGGAAGGGAGGAAGGGAGGAAGGGAGGAAGGGAGGAAGGGAGGAAGGGAGGAAGGGAGGAAGGGAGGAAGGGAGGAAGGGAGGAAGGGAGGAAGGGAGAGGGGAAGGAAGTCTCTGAAATCATTAATGTATTTAACGAAAGTGGAGCAATGCCTGGATCCATCCAGCATGAAATGAAGCCACAGGACTGTTTTCTCACCAGACAGGCAGTAAAGCAGCTCACCTTCTGTCTTCTGGTTGGTGCAGATAACCAGCATCGAAAATACCCCAGAGGGGAAAAGCACAGATGTGTTACAGGGGACAGATGCTGGAGAAATGCCGACCAGACACTCTCTAACAGGAATGTGCCAGGCAGCATGGAAGGCAAAAATCAAGTCCCCATGGACATGCCGTTCTCTTTTGTTCTTTTAATCTCATTTGTGAAAAAGGTGACTCAGGAAAATTGGAAAGGAAACCACGGGTGGTGTGAAAAGTGGCACAAGACACCATCTGTTCTCAAGTCTCACAGCTGGAAGGCTCATAACCTGCCCTTGCTATGGCTGCAAGGGTCACTCTGGTCCAGAGAGGGCTTGTAGGAGAGGGGAAGGATGCCTGCTGGGCTTCCTACTCTGGGATTCACCCAGCACATGCATGCACTATAGCTGAGCTGGAGGAGAAGAAGCCTCAGCCTGCTCCCACCCTGACCATGAGCCCCCATGCGACCTCACATCTGGCAACATCTGCTTAGGGCATTCACTACACACTGCATAAAAAGGCCATCACAGGTCAAGACGTGAGCCTGAATCACCTCTGTGAGTGGGGTGGGCAGGCAGCGGGATGCAGGAGTGAACAGAGCACTCGTCTGGATAGACAGATATTCCCTCATGACGCTCCTCTGCTCCTTGCTCAGAATCAGCCAGAAAACTGCTACTGGAACTTCTTGATGCAGAGCAGCCTGAAAAGCAGTTCACAGTGAGCCTGCGACACTGCCACAAGTAAGTGTGAAAGAGAGACAGGAATACACATGGGAATATTTTGGATTTTATCATCTTCCTGAAGCATGAATGGAGAGGGAGTGAAGATTACTGCTTTTTATTACAGCTGACAAGAAGTTTGTAAAGTACCAAATCCTGAGTATGCTCATGATACTGTAGGTGGGGAAATTCTTATATATAATCATATCTTAATGTACTTACAGTACCACAGCCCTCAGTGTGGATTCAGAGTGGTATTTCAGAGCTGATGTTCTTGAAACTAAGATTGAAACGTAAGTAAACCCTCATTTCAACTGTTTTACTGGGAAGAATGAAAGAAAAAGGAAGAAAAGCAAAGTAAGATAAAAATAAATTAAAAGAAAGCAGAAAGAAAAAAAAGACAATAAAAGCAAGAAAAGGAAAATGAATGAGAAAATGAGAGAGAAAGGAAATAAACAGGAAAAATAACAAAAAAAAAAAAAAAAGGAGAGAGAAAAAGAAAGAAGATAAAACCAGAGAAATAATTAGGAAGGAAGAAAGAAGGAAAATAAAAAAGGAGAAAAAGAATAAGTTAAAAAGAGCCAGCAAACAAGAAAATATAGAGAAATTATAGTTTCTAGATAGTAAAGGAACAACCTCAAGTCATTTTTTAAAAAGTCCAAGTCCTTCCTAATAAGATGCCTAACACTCTGTGAATTATACAGCCATAAAACTCCTACTTACATGTGACATTTGCTGGTAGGAATAAATCAGGGCTCAGAAAAAGCGGAGACGCTTTGGAGTTCAATGGGTATTATCCTAACTCTAACCGTATTAGTGGTGGTCTGAAAGCAGGACATTGTCATCCAGACAGACGGACGATGTTCATAACCAATGGTAATTTGTAGGACGCATAATTTGCTGCTACCAAAATAGCACAGCATGTGGGTTTTTTTGCCCTTTTTAGTATATAGTCATGTCGTTTCTTTTGGCTTGTTGAAAGAAATCTGCTCTGCACAAGCAGAGCAAGAGCTCAGACCTTCAGCAGCTCATATAAAACAGGTGGCCAGGCATCAGGGGAAATACAGCTTTTTTGAAAAAGCTAATAAAATAAACAGATGATTAGAGAAAATGAAGATGGAACCAGCTTCTCTTTCAAAAACAGAAAGTCAGAGACAAACTGAGTTTAGACTGAGCAAATGCTGATTGAAAACACACCCTGCCACCACCTCTCTGAGTTTTACCAACACACAGAGTTTTCACCTAAAAAAATATTTAGGAAAAGAAGAGCCAAGGCTGATCATCCCCAACACCACAGCTAGATGCAAAGATCCTCTGCTCCAGCTAACCTGGCTGTCGTCTTAACGTCAACCAGGCTGGGGCCTCGTGAAAGGCAGGTTAAGATAGACTTGCTGTCTTAAACCTTTAATCCCGGCCATCATCATCTCCCCATCAGACAAGAGCATGCAGAACTTACGTGAAAGTTGAAATTTAGATCTGGTTAAATCCCAATCCTTTAACTTGCCATAGAGGAAATGTTATATGGTATCTCTCCCGCATGCTCCAAGATCACTCTCTTAAACTGTTGGCTACTTCATGGTGGAGATTCACCAAAAAAATAAAACAGAAGGGAAAAAAAATAAAGCAAAAACCTACCCCAGAAAAAAAAAAAAAAAAAAAAAAAAAAAAAAAAAAAA